CCACGAGAAGTAGAGCAAGCTGCCAGTTCACGAGCGTTTGGGCCCGGGATAAAGAAAGCCAGAAATAACTCAAGCAGCGCTGGGGGGTCGGCCGTCAAGCTCCAGTATAGAACAAAGAAGCTCAAGCAGCTGGCGGCTCACCAACTTGCCGCAATTGCGAGTCAAAGAGCAACGCTGAAAGACTGCCGCCGCACAAAGGCAGCGTTTTGAGGCGTGTAACTTTTGAAAAGCCCAAAGAAGGCAATCCAACCTCAGATGGAAACATTATCATGCTGAAATAGTGAATAGGCGTTATACGCTGAGAGTCGTGCCCTCACCGGATGGTTACTTCCGACTGTCAAATATGAGCGAGTTGTACTGTATCGTGCTGGGGGTACGAATAGAAGGGACCAGGAAGAGGATTCTCCCGAGAAGCAGGAAACTCATGCCCGCTATTCAAAAACTGCATTCGGGTGTATTGGTCTGAATGCAACTGGCATTAAGGGCAGTCCCCGAAAGAGTTTTAGTTTTTGAAGAGAACTTAAGTGCGGAAAATGCCAAACGCAAGGCGTAGGCTTTTTGCGCAAAGAAGGACGAATGGTTGAGATGAAGAATTCCCGACGGGTCACCGCTAATATGACAAGCAAGAGAACCTCATCACGGATAATCTCGAGTCGATTCTGAAGCTATCCGCGGCGTCCTAACCGCGTCTACAAGTCTGGAGGGCAAATGCAGCGAAGGCATACTTATGGTAGGGTTCGGAAAAGAATACCTTCAAGAAGGTGAAGAGTCCGGATACCTGCTGCGGCAGTCGCATCAGATCAATACAGTGTCCGGCAGTGAGGGGAACCCCGCGAGTGCACGATGATAAGCGGGCGGAACAAGTGGGCCAGATGCTCGAAGATGGCATAGCCAAACAACAGGAAAGCTTTAGGTTTTGAGATGGCAGATGGCCATGGCAAGACTAGTGGAGGAAAATGGGCATGAGCAAGCCAATAATGCAGGCACTGACGAACCAAGAAGGGTGAACCAACCGCGCATAACGCAGGTTGTTTCAGGAAGAGGGAGGCACACGGATAGGGATGAAGCTCACAAATGAAACAATAGGACCTCCGTCAATGCAAGGGTGGTAACGAGGATGCCCAAGCAGATACAAGTGAAGACTTGAAGATAAGAAACCTCGAGAGCTAAAATCAACAACATTGGATCTCAGCGCTCAAGAGAGTAAAGAAGAGACGGGCATTCTTGTCCATACCACGAGAAATGGGAAGACAATCCCCATATCGGCGAAGTTAGTTTGATTAACTTGTAGCGCGTTTGATGGGAAGGGTTCCCGCCACTCAGGCATGTTGATCTTATGTTCAAAACCACTTGCCTGGGTGTTATTTCCGGCAATGAGCCTCTGAGGTGCGGTCATTCGTCGGCACGTCTTTCGCGGAAGCCGCCTTCGATGGTACAGCGCTCATAGCCAGGAGCGTAAATAGGCTGGGAACGACATGGAGACAAAATTCCTCGCTAACTTTCTTCGACGACGACACCGAGATATCTATCGGATCATATTGCTCGATGAGAATGGCATGAAGGAGGGAGTTAGTCGACACGTTCGTCGCAAAAGGTTCCGGACAAAAGCGATGAATTGCGGACGAACCGATCACCGAGGAATTCATCCTCCAGCCTGGCCATAATAATCTGTCCTTTGACGTATTGGAAGCAAATTGGGGAAGCACCGTCTGACAGCTTGGAGAGGATCTGAAGGTCCGAGGGGAAGGCAGGCTGAGGCGATTGCCTTAGAAGGAAGAAGGCGAGAGGAACGCACCGACGGTTAATCCGCTGAAACTCGAACTTCGGCCTCTCCGTGTAAGGACAAGGTCACCCTGCAGCTCTGGTGTGCTAATCAAGCGTCCACAGACAGCAATCTCGAAGCAGGGCAAAAGCTTGCGGGTCAGAGACTCCAAAAAGAGTAGCTAGGCTTTCAAGGACGCAAGACGTTCCAGCATCCATTCGAATCGCCTCCTTGAAGGTAACAAGATGCAAGCTACCTAGCCTATCACAAATCAGGAGGAAGCTGACAACACTAGCGGACGCGCAAAGTACTGTGCATACCACAGGAGGGTCGTGTCATCACGCACCAAGATTGCTTTAGCTGCTCAAGAAATAGGCATCAGACGCCTGGTTGAAGCGGCGTCAAATAACGGCTAAGGTAAGCGATATTGAGACGGGCAACTCCGACAAGAGTATAACGAGTATAAACTGTTTCTAGTCCTCCGACCGGGTATAGAGGTTAAACACTACCCTGATACTCCAATAGGTATATGAGTCTAAACTGTTTCCCCACTTTTGGCGGAAGTTCCTGGAGAATATTAAGCTAATATTCTTATCTAGGATAACCGCGGTTAGGTGTAGCTGATTAATAATGTCGGCGAACAAGTTCGCGTGCCTCGTTGGTTTGTCGGTTTGTGCCGAGCTGTATTAAGGGACCTATAAGCAATTTTATATGCCTACACACCAGCAACTTTTTTTTATTAATTCAAGTGTAAAGGTGGGATCCCCATTACCTACCCTTTTAAAAGGAGGAAATTTGTCAGTGTAAAGGTGGGATCCCCATTACCTACCCTTTTAAAAGGAGGAAATTTGTCCAAGCTATTGTGACGAGCTCGAGCAAATTCAGAAGGTTAGACTTGCGTGATTTCATACTCTTTGATTTTTTTACCTTCAATTTCACATGAAAATAGATTCACGATTTAGTTTTTTTCATTGCATGATTATTTTAATTAAAAAACTTGGATCTATTTATTATATTATGGTTTGCAGGTAAAAATTACAATGGCCATCTCTTCCAAATAAGGCAACAAGGTAATGTAAATATACTTAATTATTAGAAGGTGGAACTTGGGTTAACCCATGTTTCATGTTTAAATACTTAGCATTATAATTTTGATTAGTTCTGGGTAATATAAGTGTATCATTCACTAGATTAACCCCAAATATATGCTTTGAGTTTTATTCATTTTGTGCTCTAACTACTACCAACATATTAATTGTTGTCACCCTATTCATCAATTTTATTTCTCATGTTTTTAGCTCACAGTTGGGTTGTGTATTCAAAAAGACAATACTCACTATTTGGATTTCAATTAATTGAGTTGGCTTTGCCATGCAAATATCTACATTAAGTATTTAATTTTCCAAGTTTTTATTTTAGTTTTGAATGAGTATGTTATGTAAGATACTTATGTTTTTTCCTTTTATGGACACACACACACACCCACACACACACACAAAAACTAACCTATATAACAATTTCTTATGGTTTATATTGAGATCTCTAAGTAGATATCTGACATAGTAAGTTGGTCATCAGTACCAAGTTAAAGCATTAGTAATTGACAATCCAATTATATAATAGGGATAAATTTAGATACCATTAATGTTGGCTATTAGTTATGTAATGCAAAATAGGGGTAAATTTTAGATTTGTTAATAAAACCTTAATAAGATGAACAAGCAGCTAAGTATATAGTTGCTCTCCTTATCCTTCCATACTATACTACCAATAAAAATGATTATCCACATTATTGAGTCTTAACTTAACTCGTGTTTATTCACAAGTTTTAATTTTAGGTCATAAAGTTATGTGATTACCCTTGGACACTGTAAAATTGTACTCATTATTTCCATACTATACTACCTTTATTATCATTTTTGCTACTATATCAAAACTCCAAACATAATGTAATATAAATAGGTTGTAATCAAACTAACTATTGCATTTATTACTTTTCCTTTAGTAATTCTAAGTATTATTCATAGTGTCCATCCAAACAAATAATTTGTTGCCAAGTCCCAAATTCTGTAGATTCAAAAAGATAATTTTTATTAAAATCCACATCCACTATTATAATAATCATCTACATGTCCTTAGACTCCAAGTTTATCTAAGAAACTTCAGTCTTGCCCCACTGTTTATCTTAAGTTCATCATCGGATCCTCTTCAACATGCATTATTTGTCCCTTGCTATATTATTACTGCCATTGCCGAGTCACAAATTCTTTAGGTTCAATATATCAAATACCTTTGAGCAAAGAAGCAAGGAAAAAGATTATTTCTATCAAAGACATATCCATTATTAGAATATCAACAGTGACCATGTTTATCCAAGTAATCATATGTGCATGTTTCAGTTTCATTAAGAGTAGGGGAAGTTTAAGGGAAACCGGCAGGAAGAAGACAAGGAAAGTTAAGTAAATTCCATTCCCCTAAATGTTAACTAGGTATTTATGCAAAACTTTAGTGTTGGAGTGTATTCTGTCATTTATAAGAAGTCAGTTGTGAAAGTTATCCTTAAAATTAAATGATTGGTCAAAAGTGAGGATACTGTCAAAATCTATTATGGTTTTGCATTTCTGAATTCTTTACATTGGATATTTGTTAACGCATTTTTTCATCTTCAATGTTTATATATTTTTATTTTGATGACGGTTGTAACCGTTTGGGCAAAATCCCAAACGGTTACAACCGTTTGGGATGTTGCCCAAACGGTTACAACCGTTTGGGGTGTAAAAATTTACCAAACGGGTGTAACCGTTTGGCCAAATGTTAGCCCAAACGGTTGAAACCGTTTGGGCAATTTTTCGCCCAAACGGTTTCAACCGTTTGGGCTATTTATTTTAATAGTTTTTAAATTTTGACTTCTTTATTTATCTACTTGTTTATATACACATCTCACACAATAAGTACTCAACATCTCACAATGAAATCAAAATATTCTCAAACTTTGATAAATATCCAATGTTATATATTCATACACAATGTTTGCTCAATATACAATAAGTACTCAACATCTCCCAAAAGGAAAGGAAACAGAAAAACTACCACTAAATCCCTGAAAGATTTAGCCCGAGCAAATCTCTGTGCGCTTATGTGTGAGATCACGAGGCAAGTGTACAGATTGAGTGCAAACATCAGGAGACAATTGACGATTAAAATACATGGAACAGATAAACACCATGGCAAAAAAGAATCAATCATCGGCTTCTCCCAGAACATCCATGGAACAGGGAAGAAAGTTGAGCTGGAGCAATAAACGACAGATCTTGTTAAAAACACCTTTCTTAATGATTGAATAATTAGAGTTGAAGGTGTACCTGAAAAAATTAATACAGAACATGGCAGAAATTGAGTTCAGCCAGACCCCACCATATACTCCTAAATACTGGATAACAATTAGCCTCAGCACTTCACAGATAACACTACCTATCTGATAGCCCACCCCACGCCAGCTAGAACTTACTTCCCCATAAGATGCCACTATTACTCCAAGGGTGATGGTAGACAATAGCATTTTATATTGAGTTGCCCCATTCTCAAAAACATTTTCAAGTACAGCGACCGCTATGTGAACTGCATTAACCAATAGAACAACATTCAATAATTCATCTGCTATTGACCTGTAATGTGGTACTTTAGATGGACTAGCTAATTTCTTTTAATGATGAAAAGAATCACAAAGTTGGGACTTACAAGTAATCTTAAGCACCTGCATAAAAGCAACGGAGGTGTAGAAGTATGCACTATTTCTCAGCCAAAGACTCAAAGCAAGAGCTCCAAAAATGCAATGAATTAACAATCCAAATCTGAATTAGAATATTTTTTTCTGTACATCAGTACAAAATATTTAAACAAAACTCAGATATTTGATATAATGAAAGAAAACTAGTCAACTAGGAGAAACCCATACAAAACTGATCAAGCTAGTATAAAAATTAGTAAACTCCTTTAAATTGATTTTCTTATCTTTTGACATCTCTAAAAACAGATCCAACTATCCATACGTTTTTTCCCTATAATTTATGAACGGAAGCATCCTACCTCATATTTCTCTCATCTGGGACAAGATATAACATGTAATATTTTGATCAATAATGAAATAAAGTGAACCAATTAATTCAGCATGCAAATAACATCGAATAGAACTCCATTAAGGACCATTTTGTTCGGGTGATTGTTTACTAGAAACTTCAATAAAAAAATATCAATACTTTTGGCTCTCTTCTGCCTTTCATCATATCTCACTTCAAAGTGCAAATTTATCTCCATATAGCTTTGCTGTACAGTGTACATAAATAGACAACATAAGATTTATAGCTTTCAAAAGATAAACACGTTCTGTATGACAATTTATTTTCTGAAATAAAAAGAAGAGAGAAGTAGGAAAAAGCAAAATAGAAGGACAAGAAGGGAGACTCTATATGCAAATGATTGGCAGTCAGTGCTTACTTTCTATTTTGCATTGTTTCCTTAAAATTCCTATTCCCTGGATGCTCAATTCCTCTGGCCTGAGGACAAAATAGATAGTAAAAGAGGCAAACATAGTGAGAGCTCGAAGGAGATTTAGGAAGAATCAATAATCACCAGTTGAAAGCTACTATAAGTATTGTAATAATCCTGATGGAAGTCACTGGTGATCAAAATAAAACATACCTTCATGACCTTCAGAGTTATCAAGCATAATGCAGAGGAGAAGGCCATTTGCAGGAAGCACAATCCCACTGGATAGGGAAACTTGATTTATTCAGATGATAACAGCAGCTGCAAGTATAAACCAGAAGCTAGTCATTGGCGGTGTATGAACTATGAAGTTAAAAGGTGCTGCATTTCTTCCTTTGGAAGAGCATTCAACATGAGAAAAGAATAATTCAAGCACCAACCATAAGAAGTGATCTAAAAAGGGAGTTGAAGGCAAAAGGCAAAACACTCGAAAATTAATTGACCTAGCTTATTCAAGGTCATGACAAACATTTATGGCTTCTTTTTAAATATGAATGATAGTCTTCTAAATGTTCTGGCAATAAAATTTCTGAAGTTTAATTAGAACAATGACGATAAAGAATCAATGCTTTTGAAAAGTATTTGGGAAACCATAACAGAGATAAATCTGATGTTCCTCTATTTTTAGCAGAAAAGTCATGTTCTTCCCCAATATTAATAGAACTAACAGGGCCACGGTTCAAATCAATCTTAGTTGTCCCCACTGCTAATGAACTAAGAAACCTAGATTTTCCTTCAATTTCAACCGGAAAATTTACAAAATCAGCAATTTCTTTAACAAGAGATCATGCTTACACAAATTTGTCAGCAAAATAGGATCCCTATTACCGCAAACTCGCCATTGGACCCTTCTCTGTAGCTCTTCTGTGAAAATAAAGGAAAGAAACCGCACTTAATTTCGTCAAAGCTAGGGCATTTAAATTTGAAAGAGAGAGGGAGCCAAGTGAACTATGAGATACCCATATTGATCGTCAGCCCTCTTCAAACCTTCAAGAAATAAATAAGATTTAAGAAAGAAGAGTTAAAAAAGAGAAAAAAGGGGGGAGTTTTAGGGTTTGATTACTGTTCTTGGGAGCTCGATTCTCGTCGAGGATTCCAGTGGGAATGGCTGATATTTGTTTCTTTACCCTAATTTAAAAGAAAGAAAAAGAACCTGATGAAGACGAGGAGAATGGAGGACCTGATGAAGACGAGGAGAACGGAGGAGATGCATATGAAGATGACGTGGAGGCGGCGGTGGGAGCGTAGGAGGAGGAAGAAAATGGCAGAGGGATTTGAGAGATTTGGGTTTGAGATGAGGGATTTGAGGGGATGGGGTTAAGGGGCGCGGGGATTTTAGATTTTGGGGGAAATTTTTGGGGGGAAGCGGAAGAGAACGGAGAAAAATATGTTTTTTTAAAAAAAAAACTAAATCATCCAGACGGTTGAGACCGTTTGGGCTACATATTCCAAATGGTTAAAACCGTTTGGGGGTTGCGTTTGGGATTTTTTAACAGTCCAAACAGTTTTAACTGTTTGGGTTTTGTTATCCCAAACGGTTAAAACCGTTTGGGCTATTTTTACTTGCCCAAACGGTTCTAATAACCGTTTGGGCTGTCCTGTTTTGTACTAGTGTCTTTACATTGGATATTTGTTAACGCATTTTTTTCATCTTCAATGTTTATATATTTTTATTTTGATGCAAACTATTTAACTAAAATTCAGAGGTGGTTTTCATCTTCAATGTTTATATATTTTTATTTTGATGCAAACTATTTAACTAAAATTCAGAGGTGGTAACGCTAGCAAAATAATTGAGGGATGATAATTGTTAGTGAAAATATGGATAAGGGGGGGTTATTTGCAATTTACCCATTTACCACTAAGCAGAACAATATAATGCTTGAACAATTCATTACAAAGTTCTCATGAAAGATAGTGTTCATTTGTTCCAATCTTCTAAGTTTTTTTTGTAAACAATCATGTAACTGCGTTTTATAATAAATACTAACCATTTTCCGTGATATGGATCTTCGGATTGTTGTATATTTCCTTCGTATATACTAACAAGTCCTTTATTTCAATAGGAACAACATATATCCAAGAACCTTCATGTAATCAAAAACATAATAAATATATATAGTTAAATATGAATTATATAGAAATCTGCATCAAGGAAAATCTAAATTAAGCAATGCTGAAAATTGGCTTGTATTTTCTGTCTCTAAAATGACTATGATGAAAATCTGATAGCAGCTTTCATAGACATCTTAGATTTGAACCAGGTACATTACATTACATATTTTCTTCTTTTATAGAGCTACATATCTATTCATTTCATGTATCAATCTACATATATAGATGAGGTTGAGCAATATATTAGTAATATTTTTTTCCTTTTAAATCATTATGAGTCGACAGGTCAAGAATATTTCACTAATGAATCTGAATCTTCCAAAAAGAAATATAATTTTGATAATGTAAATCAATACACTTAGTATTATTTTTCTTTTTCATTTATCATGTTTGTATTTATTTTTTATTTATTTATATTTTTTTGTGAAATGAAAGGAAATTATAGATGCCATACCAAAAGCATTATATGTACAACCTCCATCCAATTATAACTATGATCAGCACTAATACTTATAGTAACACCTCAACACCTCTCTCCATAATCAAGGGGACAACCTGACAAGGCAAAACTCTTAAATTCTCTTTTGTTGTATATTTCACAATACTTAATTTTTAAATATTCTTTTGATGTTGCTGCTTCTTTCACCTTTATCATTTTGTATTTCGTTTTATTATTGTTCTCTTGATTCTTCACATTAATAGTGAAAAAATCTTTTGTTTATATCTTATTAGTATGCTAACTAAATAGATAAAATAAACATGCCTTTATTTTCCAGAATGTGTAGAATATATTTTTAATGTTTGATTTTTTAAAAGGATGCATTATATATTGTCAGATTCTTATCTAACATATGAGTAGAATGACTTTTAATAATACAAGGTTTTTTTACCATTTGTGTTTTAGAAGTTTTCAAAACAAATGAAAGCTTGAAGTTTAGTTAACATTATTTCTGGTTTGTGTTCTATTTGTCAATGACCCATTATCAATCCCGTGAAGCTTCTAATTAACTTTTGACACTTTGCACCAAAAACTTCCACCACCTCCTTGATGTACAAATTAAAAAAAATTAAATACACTGAGAAGATTAATTGAGAGAAGTAGCTAGATTAATTACTGGAATTCACCAAGAAGATTTCTGATTATAGGTTGTCATAGTAATCCTTCTTAATGTAATACCAAATTCTTTAATATCTTTTTGAGTATTATCTTTTGTTGCTACAACTTTCACCATTATCACTTTGGATTGCCTATTTCTTTTCGTTTTAATATTGATTTTTTGATTCTTCACATTAATTGTGCAACAATCTTTTCTTGCCACCTCATTAACATACTAACTATTATGTTATACTGAAACACAAGGTTCGTTATCGGTCACTGGTGACAATAAAGTTGAAATTTGTTCCTCGGATAACATTACTCCTTGCAAGAGAAATTTGTTAGAATCTGGTGTCGAGCACCCAGTTTCAGTAAACTTGATTTCTCCGCAAATGTCTAGAAACAAAAAACAAAAACAGATCAAGATTGAAAAGGATAATTAGAATATTCTACAGAGAGTTCAAGCTCCTTTTTGATAAATCTATATCTGATTCATGATGCCTGAAACTTATATTTAGTATTCTGGACTAAAACCGTATTTAGTAAACTTTTGTATGCACGACATAATTTTTGGTGGTTTTGCGTTGAGAAACCTAACTACTTGATATGATTGTGATAGATATTTTGTTTATCAATATATTGATAATTATTGTCTTGGTTCATAGATATATATACTTGACATGTATCTCTAGGTGCTTTAAATATTTCGTTTGGAACTAAACTTTATGTTGCATACTAATTACTTATTATAGCAAAATATTATAACATTAATCATATAGACATGAGATATTTTATCTACTTTGTTATGATAATAGGGAAATTATATTTTGATTCTTTTTTACAGTTTAATAGTAAGTCAAACATATATGCAGTTAAGGTTGTATCATTTCTGGTATCTTATATATTATTACTGTTTTATTTTGCATTCTTTTGCTATATTAATTTTTATATATTAAACAAATCCGTGCATCGCACGGGCCTGAAACTAGTTATGAAAAAAGGTATTTTTGATGAAGAGGACCACATTCCAAAAGGGAGAATGGGATGCATTATCGAGTTTGGTTTGTAGCATTTCACCTCTTTTAAAGTACAGTTGATAGAGGAAGGTTCCTAATAATGATTTCCTGTCCAAACATTTCCATAACTATTTGGATAGAAAGGATATATTGAAGATCTTAATATCCTTAACTCCCAAACTACCTTCAAATTTGCTTAGACATACATTTTTCCAATTAACCAGACATTTGAAAGAATTAGCCTCTACTTTACCAGACCAAAGGAAGTTTTTTTTTGAATTTTGTCTACTTCATTGATTAACCATTATGGAAGTTTGTAGAATGACATAAAGTATAGAGGTATTGTGGTAAGCACTGAATTCAGTAAAACGAGCCTTCTACCAAAAGATAGACAATTGCTTTTCCAACAAGCTAATTTTTTGTGTAGATTGTCCAGAATTGGTTGCCAATCAGACTTAGAAAGAGTGCCACATTTCAAAGGTAATCCCAAATACTTGATAGGAAGATAATCCAATTGGCAATCAAGAGCAGAAGCTAGATTTTGAGCTCTGGTAGTAATTTTTCCAAAGTAGATAAGAGAGGATTTAGAATAATTAATTCCCAAACCAGACAGTTCTTCAAAGATGTATAGGATTGTTTTGAGTATGTTTATATCTCTTGGTGAACTTTTAACAAAGAGCAAAGTATCATCTGCAAACTGATGTCTCCGAATTTGGTTTAGGGGTTCCTTAATATTCAAATTTGATAGTAAACCTTCCTCCACATTATTCATAATTCTTTTAGACACGACATCAACTGTAATGTTGAAGAGCAAAGGAGATAGGGGATCTCCTTGTTTAAGGCCTCTTTTACAAGAAATGAATTTTGATGGGAGCCATTTACCAATATTGTGCAATTAGAGGATGAAATGATGTGATGAATCTATGAGCACCATTTATTACCAAAACCCCTTGCTTTGAGTAGGTTGATAAGGA